CTTTTATGAAAATTTGCAACATTTCGATTTTGACTTGGCCCCTTATTCAGGTATTATGCACAATTCATTATGACACAATCATTACAATAGGGCATAAACGCGCTCTCCGGTGATAACAAATTCATGTAGGGTAATAATGAAGAATGAAGAGAAATATGAACGCGAGATAAAGAGAGATATGAAAGCACAACAAAATTGTGAGGGGTTTATAAACATTGTCTTCATCATTATGTGCATGTACAATACTATCACCCCTTTCTCTCTCTTTCTCTCTCTCTCTTTCTCTTTCTATTTTTCTATCTCTATCTTTCTTTCTCCCTCTTCTTCTTTCTTTCTCTTTCTCTCTCTCTCTCTCTCTCTCTCTCAATAACATGTTAAATAGGAAAACAAAAATACATTGTTTTAAAGTTCAAACAAAAAAAATACAACACGATCTTTTTTCTAAAAACTTGTTTACATTTTTGTATAACTATATAGAATGGGCAAATACAAACGTATTGTTTAAAAGTAATGTTAACTCTTGATAACTCGTTTTACAACAACACAGTCCGTATACATGTAAAATGAGTATAAACAAAACACCTCGTTTTAACATTAAACACATGACATAACCAACCTTCCTTTTTTACAACTTTTTACAACTTTCTTTTCCATTGCACAATCCATATGCATTTAAAAATGGGAAACACAACAAAAATTGTCTTAAAGTTAAACAAAATTATAAACCACCTTCCTTTTTAACAACGTGGAGTCATTTTTAACCGTTTTTAATCCTTGATTTGTATTATAGCAATTTCAATTGCTTTTGTAACCCCTGACCAGCAGATTGTATCCTTCTCTCTCCCTTCTCCACTTTCCTAAAGATGTTTGTATGTATGATGAAATATCTATGTATTATCTGATTGCTATATTCATTGTATGTTTTACGATTGATCAAATAAATAATATAACTACTAATAATGATATCTGTAAATTGTATTATTGCATGTATTTGAATTTGTATACGGAATTTAAAACCAAACCAACCTCTGTCGTTCGCGCGCTGGCTGTGCGTTGAGAACGCGGTGCATACGTGGACCATTCGTCCAGCGCGCTAGCAACACGCTGTGCATTCGTGGAAGTTTTTAACATGTGCGCTCTTTAAACGGTCTGTATGCGCACTGTATGCGCCCTGTATGCGCCCAGCGCGCTAGCAACACGCTACGCACTTGGTGTCAGCTTCCTGTAGCTTCGACAAAAGTTGGGCGCACGACAACATACTGACCAAAATTGCAAATTTTCAATGCGCCGGCCGTGCGTCCTCCATGCGTCGTCTGTGTGTGACCGGGCCTTAACGATAGTTTGCTTATTATATTAGTTCCTAAATTAACTTTTAATTTTGAGAAAAAACTTTTCGTCAACAGGAGTCATTGTCAGGTTGACAAATGTCAGTTTTTTTTTAAGAATTCCCCTTACCAGACAGTTATTTCTGTCTAAACCTGAGCGGCCATTACATTGGTCATTTGGATTCATATAGGAGTCAGTTTGGCAGTGAGATTGTGCTGTGGCATTAGAACAACTTGACAAAATAAAACTTTGCAAAATTTGGATTTACACTTTCTTGTGAATGGACGTTTTAAAATACAAATCTCACCCTGGTAATTATCTTGGTTTTGATAGTACAAGAAAATTAGAGAAACGGATCACTGACAATTTGAGCAATATCTGATTAAAGGGTAATAAATTTAAACGAGCACTTATTTTACCTGAACAAATTATTCAGTCGTACGTGCATGCTACATGTAATCAATCATTACGAATATGTTTTTACACCGCCCCATTTCTTCATTATATAAGCTAGAAAATAAGACATTATTAAAAGTGCACTACAAAGCAAATGGAAGACCACCTCATTAGATAAGTCACAGATTTGCCAAATTGGGTTGCATTGATTATAACTTCAGAATGTAATGACTTTCTTATTCGTATACAGATTTTGTTCAATTCTTCACTGATCTGTTTCTCGCATTTTTTCCCTTGTATTAAAACCAATGAGATATCATGGTGTACTTTAATTTCGTTATGCTATTTCATATCCGTTCTATTCGGCATTATCTAATGGTGCATAGATGATCGTGTTCTCATCTAAAGTGAGGTATTCATGCATGTTTGACATTATGATTAAGATGTGTATTTTCTGTTCATTTCACTTTTTTGGTCTTCTAGATTGGCTCTGCCTTTAAGAAGATCCGCGAATCTATCATGGAGAGGCCATTTCAATGCCATGTGGTCCCCGAGTATTATGCCATTGAAAACAGCTTAGAGGACAAAGACGATATGGTACATCATAAATAATCATCAACTTTCATAATTTATAGTAACCTGTAACAAAAGAGTATTACTGATTATTTATCCAATCGAGTTACATCCAATCCAAAATGTAATATTACTTTTCCTTGCAGTTATAAAGTGCTGCTTAAATTGCTCCACATCTTTGGACCACCTCAACAATTATATATCACTTCAAAATGTTAAGCTAATGCAGTCCATTGTTCTGTAACAAAATACATACAACAGCTTGGAGCCATGGGGCGAAATGTGATGAATTTTAGACTCAGGGTTATTTATGGCCTTGAATGTTGCCCCAATCGTTTAACTATGGCATATATTAAGATGCTCTTTCATACACAAAGAACTGACATAGCCATCTGTTAGTATCTGATTTTTTTACAAAATTGTTAAAAGCTGCTAACTCTAAAACTAGGTGTGTATGCCTTTTGACATCTAATCTCAATATGATTCCATGATAATTTCCAAAACACTTTCATGCAAGTTCCCAAGAAGTTGTTATTAAGATGTAAATATCTTGAGCTGCATGTCACGTTAAAAAAAACACACCAATAATTACGTTCCTTTGTAGCTGGTTGCGTTGAGGAGACACATTGAGAGAGTAGCAATGACAGAGCCTTACATGGGAGAAGAGATTCCACTTAGATGGCTCTTATTTGAGGAAGCTCTAGCTGCACATGAAATCAATTACATGTCGTTAGATCAGGTAGGACTGCAACGTTAATTCTTGTCATTCTCATGTAATTTGCGTTCGGGTATTGTAGTGGTAGAAAATTCGAGATCAATTGTATATTTGCAGTTCATATTTGAACTTCAAGTTTTAAATGCCTAGTTTGGTTTCATTCCTTTAAAAGTTGTTTTTCTTTCAAATTTTCCATTTGTTGGTACTGAATTTTCTAACAAATATTTCTGTATATATTTCTTTTTCAAGGAAAATTAAGTTAAGTCCTTATTTCATTTCTTTATAGCTACTTACAACTCTCCTGGTATTGTTGGGAATATGTAATGCTACATTATTTAAATGCATCCATCAGTGATACACTTTTAATTTTGTAAATTGCCCACTTAATGCGTGTTTCAATACAAAAAATGGCATGAGATTCAGGCTTCGTGTTGCATTCTGTAACAGATTTGCTTGATTAATGTATTTACATTCTGTGTATGCCCTGTGTAAATTGAATGAAATGTTACTGTTACGATATTTATTCATTTAATAGCTACTTTTTGTGATGTTTGTCACCAATCATATGATGATTTTGAAACTATTTTTTGCATTCTTCCAGACCAAGGAACTGACGCAGTCAGTCGGGATGGAGTTGGAGCATGAACTTCTCACGATGCTGACCTTTTACCACGACCTGGGTAATGTAGTCTACTACGGAGGCATCGAAGACCAGCATTCTCTCCTACGAGACATGGTGATTCTGAATCCTCAATGGCTAATCGATGTCTTCAAGCAGGTCATAACCATTCTACATCCCGCAAAGAGGGTGAGAAACTTCCTCCTTTACAAACTCATTCACTCGTGCTGCAGTAAGCTGCAACATTTTTTTAATATGACGAAATGCATGGGAATTGGGCATTCAAAAGTAATCGCGTATCACAAAGGTCCTATGCAGTCTGTCACACAAGACATCGTAGGAGAACATGTGGCTAATTGATGTATTGAGCAGGTCATTATCAAATGGTTTACAATCTATACGCATATGTCCAGTTATTCCGACTGCCATTAAGTTGACATTGTGTTTTAATTCCAGGATGGGATCGTGAGTGCTGCTTTTGCCAGGCTTGAGAAGGATGGTATCTTAGAGGATAGGTTGATTCAGCATATGTGGCAAGGCTTTTTGGAGAAGAAGGAGGCCTTAGTCGAGCTCATGGCCAAGTTTGATCTCATCTGTGAGGCTCCTGTAGAACGACTCCGGCAGGATGGAGTAGACACTCTGGTAAAATATCCAGCTAAATGGTGCTCCGTCCCGTGTTCCCCCAGCAATGACCCGGGTTTTATTTTATCATAACTATAGGCTCAGGCTTATGGTTATAATTGGGTATTTGGTTTAAGGTTAGGGTTAGGACATATGTTTTGGTCCATTGCTGCACCTAATAGGTTAGAAATTAGGTTAGGGTAGGAAATTACATCCAAATCAATTATTGCAGTTGATAAACATCTTGTTTCACGTTATCCTCAGTGTTTCATCTTAACCTCGGTGTTTCACGTTAATCTCAGAATATTGTGACTAGAAATAAACAAACAATATAGGAGCAAACAAGGGACATGTACCAGCTTTGGTAAATATAAATATATATGTATGTGTGCAAATATTGACTTAGGGTTGAAAAAGGGTACATAATGTCCATATTTTAAATATGCTTTCGGTTAGATAACATATTTTTTTATATTTGCATGTATATTCCTGAAAATTGAACTAAAAATTGCTCAATATGTCGATGTTCTTCGGAAACTTGCCACATTTTAGTGGCCAGAGTGGGATGTGGGAAACTTTTTGACGAGTGAAATATGAATTGCTTTTGTTTTTTGCTTAAATTTCTTGAGAAAAAAAAAAGTTTCTTGTATAATTTGTATTGATGGTTTAAGTGTTTGGATATATGTTTTTATATTTTAGGTATCAAAGGAAACAGAGAAGGTGGTACAAAAGCACTATTATGTGCCTTCCAGACTTACGTCCCCTTGCCCCCCAGAAGAGATTGGACAGATCAAATCTTCTACAGACTTTTATTTGGACTTCAGAGGCTTCTTACCAGGTAAGGATGAATATATCATCTGTTACAGCCAGAAGGGTGTCAACACGTGTAAAGTATCGTAAAGTTAATGCCCCTCTCGCTCCAAAGAAACTATATTGTAATTAGATTGCAACAATGTGGGTATAAAGTCAAACCTGTCTAAGTGGCCACCTGTCCGGGAAGGCCAAACATTTTTTGTCTCCCTTGAGAAAGAAATGTGTGTCGTGAAAGACCAACTGTCTACAGTGGCCACTTGCTCTATTTTCCTTGAATAGCCTCAATAGACAAGTTTGACTGACCTTAATAAGTAAACAAGAAGTTCACTATGTACAACTCACGGATAGCTTGAAAATTCTAGGATTGGCTTTAACATTGAGAAGAAAGATGGTAAGCTACAGACTATTTTTGATGATTTCTTGTATCAGATTAGTCTACAATATTCGTTTTATTTGCTTTAATTCTAATGATAATATCAATATTTAATTATTTCACAGTGCACATATCCACCTCGCAAGTTGCTCAATGTGCTCTTATATTACCCCGGCTCTTCTGGGCTAATTGGTGTAGGTTGCCCCCAGCAAATCAAGGAATTCCTCCCTGCCGGTACCTTTTTAACCCCTGGGTAGAGGGTGGTAAATGTAGATTAATGTCCTGCCAAAGGACGTGTCAGGGTGTTCAGCTGTAAAAGCCACTATACATTGTTATGGCTATGTTGATAGTCGGAGTTTAGTCCATCTTGTTAGAAACTCGTGTTTTGTTTCTCAGAAATATATAATTGTCTTTAAGTATTATTGCAGTTAATACATCTTTTTGAGCTTGCTTTCAAAACGGCACTAGCCATAATCTGTTGGTCATCTCTCTTGTTTGCCATTTCCACAGATGGGCTGTTTCATCGGTTGATGGCGAGAACAGTCAGATGGATACGTGAAAGAGATGGAGAACCAGTCACTCTTTTCCATCGTCACATCAGTCTAATGGTTGATGGAGTGCATCATGCCTTAATAGAGATGTTACCTCCTTGTGAAGCAACTATCAAGGTCTGAGTCAAGTTCAGCATTACCTTTTTTAATGGTGGAGATACTGAGTTGTAGGTAACGTTTTGAGGCCGCGCATCGGATCCCTTCAAAGGCAATGAATTTCCTTCGCCTGGCAATGTTATAGTCAATCTACTGAAGACGATCTTACTGTCGATACCTATAGAACCAAATGCTCTTCATGCCTCTTATTTATTTGAAAGAATTGCATTATGTAACCCTGAAAACTTTACCTATAATTCAGTATCAAGGTCTGGTTCGTACTGCTCTTATCTGAAAAACAGAACCTCATACTATTTCACCGTTAGTGTTATTTTTATTTTTATTTTCAAATGCACATACAGTCTTAGCTGATAAATGTATTTAAGATGTGATCGCAAGCCCTATAGTTGTTTTTATGTTTAACCTATCGTTTTGTTCTTGTTTTGTTTTGTAACGTATTTGCAATATTTGTTATTCTTTGACTGTTTCTTTTAACATTGTATTTGAATTGTATAATGTTAAAAGTACTCTCTTGCAAATCAGTTTATGTGTGCTGAGGAACATACTCTGTAAAACGAATACAAAAATAATAAATGTATTAATTATTTAATAAACAATCCTCACAAAACTGAGGGAACTGAAAACAATAACACATCTTTTGTGTTGTTCTATTTCGTAATATTTTTCCCTTTACCTTTGATGCTGAACATGTCAGGTCATTGTATATCAAGGACCGGTTGCAGATCCTGATAATGATGGGGATAGCAATACACCTCCAGTCCCAAGTGTCGTCAAAGAGGTAGGTAGCTCAACAGGATGGTTTCAATTACTACACAATATAAATAAACAGAAAAGAAGGCGTCATTTTTTGGTTCGATTGGAAAACTGGTAGCGTGCTTGAGTTTAGCTGCCAGTAAACATCTAAGAAAAGTATCTGAACTATAGAATTGAAGTTGTCACCGGTAAAAAAGTTTCGGATGTGTCATATAACATATGTTTATAATATAAAGTACTGTTAACTCTGCATAGGTCGAATCGGTTAAGACCGCACAAAATAGTTAGACTTAAGAAGTGGAAATAACAAATGATTTGCATAAGTTTTTCAAGATTGAAAATGATTTAACTTACAAGAACATACGACTTGTACTTGAGCTATGCAGAGTTAACTGTCATTGCTTTCACACAAACGATTCCATGAACTAAAGTGTGGTGAAACTTTGAGTCCTGTTAGATTGGAGGACAGTAAATTTAGACCAAATGGCACTTAAACTTGACTTAGAAATCATCTACAGTTGAAGGCAGGATTAACTCCAATTCTATTTCTTAAAGTCTGGTTAATTTAATCCATATTATACATCTAGTTTATGTGGTAACTCAGTTCAGCTATCAAATTATGAAACTTGGTGCTTCGTCATTAGGTTTATGGAAATTTGTAAATGAACTTCCAAGAAAATATCAATAGTTTATTACTAATTTGGGTCGATATATATTGGAAACAAACCTCACAATAAATGTACTGTTTGTGGATAAGGAAGATAAGAGGACCATTTTTGTCCCTCCACCCAAATCGGCAATACCTGTTCATGTGTCTCGGCAAACTTTGTTAGGTTAATAGACAATATAAGCCAATGTGACGTGCGATTCATGCACTATCCGAATGACAGTCTCATTGTAGATCCGTCTGTTGTTAATTTAAATCAAAGTTAAATAAGCATGAATCAGTCCAAAAAAGAAATTAAAATATAATATATATCTTTGGGCTGTTTGTGTATGTATGGCAGGTGATGGACTTTATAACGCAAACCCTTGATAGTCTTATTCAGCACTGGGCTAGGAGGATCAAGTATGATGTACTCTTTCTGTGCCCGAGGTGCAGTAAGAAGAAACTGCTTAAAGACTGCTTCAAGGGAATGTCACTCAAGTGTGGACTACATAGCATCCGTACAGCTGCAATCAAGTTCAAGTTTGGTAGGTATATAAGACTTGGTGCTCCACCAACAACTATTTTTTGCTCTGTATTGAAACAAATCTCCCGCTCAGCAAACCGATGGTGCCATTATTAAATACCCCCTAGTCTCTTAAAGAGTCTTTGCGTGAGGGAAATGTAAGATAATAACTTTTTCCATATATTATGGGTTGATTGGTGGAAAACGCAAATCATTATATATGGCTTGTTGGTCATAAAACTGAAGGCTATTCCTGTTGATTCATAACACCTGCTATTGGGTAAACACCCGAATGGTGTCAAATTGTCCATGAGAACCCACTATACAATGCGTCATTAATATAGATAAAAGGCACGCATGTGTAGACTAGTTGACATACTTGTACATGTTGACATGGACTACATCCATGTATTCTATGTTCAGGTAAGGTATGTTAATATATTATTGTTTAACAAGAAGTTAAGCGAAATTCTACAAATTCTTATGAGCTATATAAGCACTTTCCATTCATATTTAGTGTGAAGTTTTGAAAATAACGGAAACAAATGCAATATACACAGAAATGTGTATATGGGACTACAAACTTATTTTATGAATGAATCATAGTAATGAGTTGTTTTGTCATAGTGTCACTAATTTCTTTGAACGTTGTCTCCACATTGCAGGTATTAAAACAAAATAAACAATACAAGTAGTGTAAGCTATGAAATTCCACAAAAGAGTATAAAATGCAAATGTTTGTCATTATATCTTTTTTATGCCAGAGGGTTTCCGTCCTCATCATCATCCATATCAAAGTCAAACAGTTTCATCTTATGAGGTGTTACTGAGATTCTCTCCACCATTTCTTCGTGTCTCAAGCATCCTCTTCATGTATACATACCTTACCGCTTTCTTTCTTCACCATTTCTTTCCATGGAACCTTCAGTCTTCCTTTCCCTCTTAAGCCATCATAAAGTTCTATTTTGACATGATATGCTATGCAAACCATCCTTTTTCTTCTTTCCCCAAGGTACTAGCTCCACGTTGCCAACAGGAGGATCCAATGCACCTTCAGTGTCCTCTGACCTCGGCACACAGCCTCTGGCAGCGGCACAGGTTGCTTCAGAGGTTGTACGGATCATACCGCGAATCAACGATCTGCCAGCTATTCCAAGCTCCTCGGTGAACATGCATGGGAATGTTTATAACATCGGCTCCATGTATGTTACAGGTAGACATGATCTTGTGCCGCCGCACCCAATGATCATCCCCCTTGGGGTACGGCACGAGATGAGTAAACTGTTGAACGGTCCCCGTGTTACTCATGACGACTGGAAGGGACTTGCTAGTGCCTTAGATTTGGATGACTACATCGCTAGTCTGGCCTGCAAGCCAGACCCAACATCAGATCTGATTGACCTGGCGGAGGGACAGAAGAAGATTTGCAGCCTCGAGGATCTGAGGCTCATTCTGAAGCATATGAAGCGCGATGATTGTGTGGATGTTCTTGATGCCGGAGCATCGGTTAAGTCAAACAACCGTCTGATGATTAAAGATCGAGACAGGAGTAGCAGTTCTAGTGATGACAGTTACTGAACCACGGGGTATGGAGTTTTAATCCCTGCCACTGTGACAGTACTAACGTCCTTTGGTTAGACGCTAATCTACATTTGCCACACTCAACCCAGGAGAGTTAATTATGTTTCTAGTAGGTTTATTCCTTGAAACGCACTGTCCGCTGATAACAGCTGCTGGAGCTAAACCGAGGATATCAATCCCAAAGCTGTCTGAAAGCGCATCGGGCGTTATAGTGTGGTGTGCGCTTTACAATAATGAAAAATGAATATTATCATTTTTTTGTTCAGGTACCGGAAATTAAGTACATTAAATGGTTATTAATGGAGCTTCGTGCAATGTATTGTCTTAGAAAGATGCACCCGGAACGCAGAAGGATTTAATTATATTATAGTTTGTCATGTCTGATAATGAAAGTCTAGATAGATTTATATCAAGATAGTGCATGTGTTTAAAAGCTTCATATCATAAAGATGTGGTCCCACATCTGAGTGATAACATTATAATGTGTAACAACTAGACATTTTGTGTCCCACGTGTGGACCCGTTTTTCCTGCCCACTACATGAATCTAATGTACGATATTGTGCACATTCTTATAATTCATTTTCACAGGTATCATTTATAGAAAAGTGTATTTACAAATAGCCAGAAGTAGCTGCCTATCTGTGATACGTGGGAAGAGTGATTCCTATTTTTGTACCTTCAAGCTATGTTTTGCACAGGTCATTTCCCTATTTCTGTCTGAAGATTTTTGTGTAAAAAGTATACAAATTACATTTGATTCCTAACTTTCCAATTTTTAGCTGTAAAACATTAGTAGGTAAGACATGTAAATGATTAGGGTTTATTATTTTGGATCTCATCAGCGTAGAGTGATCATGGTTTACATTATGCTTTTAACTCAGAGATGGATTCATTATCTTAGATGCTGCTTATAAGTATTGGCTTACACGGTGGTGTCGATAATACAGAGGGCTTGTGGTTGCACCATGTGAGAGAGGGTGAGGATTGAAGCAACTCCTAGGGCCACTCCTACCACCCATTCTCTCCAATTACCGGTGCTATAATTCTCCTTAGAACTATAAGCTAAGAAAAATAACCAACAGTCTTTTGTAAGACTATACCAACAGTCCTTTTTTCAGGACTACACACATACTCGAGAAAGAAAGATTACCGAGAGTCCTTTTCAAGACTCCCGAATCCTCCCCCTCCAAGTCCAAGTGACTTTCTTTTTGTAATGCCTCCCTCTACTGCTGGGCTTTAGTCAAATTGTAGACCTCGATCAGATGACCATAAATATGTCAAAGCTGTTACTCAGTTTGGGGACTGGGCCTATTATCTGAAAGGAGTGCTGTTATGGATAATAAAAGGTGCTAATTGCGTAACAACCTTTACCGGGAAGTTGTATGAATTATGTTTTTAAAGAATAGTAATTTTGTATGAGTAATATTTTTGAACAATTGTGATGTTTGTAAACATTTGAGCTTCCTGTTTACTCCCTTTTGTAAAATTTGTGATCTGTTAAGTTCATGAATATATATTTTGTCAACTCTTTGTAAGACAGGGCCCTGGTATGTAGAACTAATATTAAATAATATATTTACATATTGAGAGTCAGTTTTGATGAATAAATGTTGTATTTTGTGCTTGCACAAGTGATAAAGAATTCATGTGTTAGAGAATCATGCGATACATTTTCTTACGGGATTGAATTGATATTAAATGTATGATCTCAGAAATAATATTTTATCTCACTTTTATACTGATCGGTGATATTTGTAGGGAATTAAGAAGTTTCAGCGTTCCACGGAGATATGAAAGAATTAATATGTTGTTATTGCAATGAAGTGGTTGCTAGTTGTACAGTTATTATTGTCGTACAGGGCGGCCGAATGTAAACAAACTTTAGAGATAACTGCGCCCATGTGCATCGATTATCGATAAACTGTGCTGTTGGTAGGGATTCATTTCGATTGTCCTAGATGTTATAATAAGATACAAATTAGTTGATTAAGATTGAAGAAATGATGTGTTTCGAAAATTTGTATTATTAATATATTGAAGAAGTACTTCAGCAGTGCAGAATATTTCATTGAGTTTGAACTTAATTATATTGATATGCCAAATGACATGCAGATTATGCTGTCGGAATAGCCAGTAAAGAAATGCATGTTTTTTTTAATTGTTTTTATTATTGATTATAGCTGGTATATGTTGGCTGTTGAGGTATTCTATTCAATGGCTACGTGTGGTGACTTGGCTGCTACATGGTTCG